CGAAAATTAGGTTCAACAAATTGTTGAATTCATGCTGAAGTAAATGTTAAAATCTTTTAAACGGGCCTTAATGCAGAATGGCTGTCTGCAAACTTCTTAAGTATAAATTCATACTCATTCAGTACAATTTCCGACTCATTCAGTATATCTGTGTACTGATAAGTTTGTTTTTGATGAGCTGTCACATTACGGATTAATGATTGGACAGTTTTTACTTTTTGAGTATGAGAAGCATACTCAACAAGTTAAAAGTTAGCTGATTGGCTAATTTTGTACTAGTTAGTTCATTCCAGATTCTTTTTTGGCATTCCAAAAAGTTTTTAGACTGTGTTAGTAATAATTAAGCATTGTGTATATGTAGTTTGTATATTTGATGGCCATATTTACTGCATATCTGTAGTTTTCCACTCGCTCAACCCCCTAGAGGCTATTTTAACACGGAAAAGTCCTCCAATTTAAATGTTATTGAAAATTTTTGATTCATCGTGAGTCTTTCACAGATTACGCCGAAAACAAACCACGATAGGAGCTTTCAAATTTCAAGAAAGCTTTGCAAACTCAAGAAGCAGTCAAGGGGTTTGCATAATTCTTGGGACTTGCGTGATATTGCTAATTTTTACTACAAACATCGTTCATGTACATACAGAAGGCTTTTATGATTTCATTTATTTACTGCACATAATTATGTCAACGTTTTCGCATAACGTTAACAATTGACCTTAAAATCAATCTTATTTTGTACAAAGTCCACTGAACCTAATTACAATCAATGGCTCTAGGAACTTGTTTTTGGATCTAACTGACTGATAGCAAGGTCAGGGGTAGTTTACCGGTACAAACTATCTACCAACAAAATTTTGCATTTTCTTTCCATCAAAAGACTTCTTAAATTAATCCCTTTAGTTAATAAGCCCTTGATACCTATACCAATTTTTAAACTTGACTTTCCCTTGACCACGCCGTAATGGTTGAAGAGCAATGTCAAATTCTTTATGCCATTTCTTTCTTAACCTTTCTGTCTGCCTTTCTGAAGCAAGATTTCCAGAAATCTTTCTCCTCAAATTTCTAAATAGTTCCTTCTGACTTACTGAATCCTGCGTTATTCCACTGGTGTTTTCAAAGTTGTTAAATCAATTAGGGATAAGGAGAAATCGGTATGATATCAAGCACGAAGTTCGTACTTTTCACCAGTGTTCTTGTTGATCTACGCCAACAGTCCATAGTGCTCAAAACTGATAGATGTGACCTTAAACCGCCCGCCATAATCTACGGTTCGCCGTCAATGATCATGAATTTCCTGACATACAAGAATATTGACGAGTAAGGGTAAGGATACTCTCTTTACATGATGTCCTTTGTCTCACCTTTACATTTGTTAGTACTTACGTTTGAGACTTACAATAAAGAGCACGTACAATGAAAGGAATCCGGGATTATCAAGTTACTCACAGTCACTTTCCTCCACCTTTGTTAGATGTTTGATTGAAGTACTCGGGTCATGCAAATTTCGTCTCCGATAAACCGTCATCAATCATTTAGCATTGCCTGAGGCGAGGTCGTGCCGCGCAGTCTTTGTATATGCTCAAATTTTTCACAACATTGTGTACATCCATTTCAGATTTAATGAAGTCCGTGAGGCAAACGCAAACGCAAACGCAATTTGCAATGGCTTAAGAAAAAGTTTTGTGGCACACTGTAGTCAGAAGTACCATTCAGTGAACTTACTTGACTTTCATCCAAGAGAAATGACTCGATTTTGTAACTAATGCAACTGCCTTTTACACCTTCAGAATCATCAAAGTGATTGTGCTTTCGAGCACAGACACACTTTTCAAAAAAGAGAGGATAATAGAAGTAATGATATGTTCTATACGTCTCGTGGGAGCTTCTTAGAGCTAAACGCTATATTTCCGCACCTCACTGACTCTGTCTAATCTGGATTAATTACGCAAATATTGTAAATCGATTTTCAAGGTCAGATGATCAAGCATAGTCTTGAACAGGGAATAAATCTAAGGCTAAATGATCCGTTATCAACATTCACCGATAAAATTAAAAAAAAAGCTATCCGCTTATAGAATCTAAAAATCAAACTCAGGCATTTATTTATCTCTCGATCCTGCAAGTTTCTCAGTCTCTCGCCTGGTGACCTAATTCCTTTACTATCTCATTTATTGAGGAAACGAATTACTTAAATAAAAAGACCATGTTCCTCAAGATGGTCAGCTAGCTGAGTTGACCGGGCCATGACTTCATCTTCGTTTGAAATGCGACACAATTTTACCGGCTATCTCTACAAAGTTAAAACCTTTCATCCAAGCGTGTGGCTATATCAATATACTCTATAATTAATTTTAAACAGAGTAAGGCTGACATTCCCACTAGGAATAGAAATTAAACGAACATTCCAATAGCTTCAACCCTGGTTTGAGTGATTTCAACTTTTCGATTGTATAAACACCACTTATGATTTGATCCCTTGTAAACAGTTCAGCACAATTCTTAGTTGTTGAGGGATAAAAATGAGAGTTCTGTTCTTCACTTAAGCTAAGAGTATCAGGGAAAAAGAATAAACGAGGAAAAGAAGGATTACAAGAAAATCAAGTAAAGGAAACAATGCAACGAATAACGATCGGCATGATTGAGCTGTCGAATTTAACATCTTGTGATGCGAAATGTATAATACAGTATTAAACTCATGGAGAACGCTAGAGTGCCAGTAGAATTGTTCTCCGCAAGGAATCGCTGAATCCTAACACCAAGCCAGAAAAACATTCTGCTAATATTATAATCCAAGGGTTATCATAATAAACCAAATCATAGTTTCTCAGTCATATTTCTCGGATTCTGTCTTGTTGTTTTTGTAACTTATCCGAAGCTGCACGAGTTGAAGGTAACAATTGAATCACTAATAAAAGTGCCGCACTGAGCAGCAAAGACGAATTTTGTGAAGCATACATGATACGATAAAATTCCTCTTCCGACCTTAAAGTTTTAAATCTCGAACAGTGAATGTAGCACAGTTGTAGATTAAAGAATTTCAATTACTCAACTTTGTATTAATACAGTGCAATTTTCCTTAACTTAGCAAGGGTAGAAACTATGTACACGCAATTGGAATGCTAGAAGACAACTGTATTTCCCGGGAGTCTCCCAATACTCGTAGGGGAGGATGTTCTGGAACGTCTCTGCTTGAATTAGCATAGGGAGTTCAAAATATTAATAAAATATCTAAAGTCGAAATGCGCTTGAAGCTTGCTCTTCTTGTTCGGAAGATATCTCCTTTTCTACTTACTCAAACTTCAAAGCTTGCACAGTTTTGAGGTGAAACCTCAGTGACCCTTAAAATAAATGAAATCTTCCATCACGGTCAGATTATAATTGTATGAATAAGATGAGGACTTGTAGAATTCTGTATCTTTACCTTTTTAACTAAAACATCATGTGATATTCACCTTAACATTTTTGCATCATTCTATGAATGACATTCATAATTCCTAAATGCTGGAGGTGTTTCGCAATCAGTGCCGCATTCTTGCGCGTTATCGTCACTGTAGCGGCCCCGTAGCAAATTTGTCTTATGATATTGACAACGTGGGTGTTAGGTTAATTTCTTTAGAGCAAGCTCCGAATTCCGTTGTTATCACAAACAGTGGGGGACTAAACTGTGTTACGCTCGAACACTCCAATTACATCGTGAGTGAGCCTATACTTGACCGAGTACCTTTTAAGGAACTCAAGTATTGAAATACTCAAGCACCATTGTTTTACTTTCAATCACTATTTGTCGTACGTGATACTCTGAGTGGGTTAGGATAACTTAGTGTTTCCCGCGTCCGAAATGCAATTGATTTTTAAACTTTTAAGAAATTCTTTCAAAGGGATGTTGCACTCTCTCATTCGTTCACATTTACCATTATCTGATATAAACGGCTCAATAAAAGCTCATAGTATTATCTGTAAGGAGGCTATGGCTTCCTCTAAATTGGAATGATCATCCATATCGGATGGGGTAATGTTCAGTTTATTTGTCTGTAGTCAGTAGTGATATCTAGAGCCAGATGCTTATGTTTCTATTATAGATGATTATTAAATTTCCCTTGAAAATGCAGTGGTACGATATTACACGCGGTAGTTTTGACTTCATGAATAAAGGCTGATAGTTTCGAGAGAAATTGTTTGGGGCTGCGTCGGTGGGAGTAACGAAATAATTTGGATATATCAACAAAGTTGAAATGGTAAATTGGCCACCGTAATGATCACAAAGCACACACAACCCACAATTCCTCTATTCGCTCCGACGAAGGACTAACGCTGGAAACGTCAGCTTTTGTAATCATTACGGTGGCCAATTGACCATTTCAACTTTGTTGATATATCCAAATTGTTTTGACTTCATGTTTCCTGAATGTGAATATTTTCAGAACAAAATTTTCTAGCAACTGTTGTTATGGGGGCTGATCCAGTTACGATAACTCGCAAGTATCCCCCAAAAAGGCATATCTTTATGATTGTCATATTGGATCATTTTATGATTAAGGCGAAAACTTTCTGAAATTCGTGCGTTTGTCATTTTTACTGGGTTCTTAATATTGAAACCGCGCAAAGTAATCAAATAAATCGATTAATCTACAGCAGCCTTGTAGAACTTTCTCTTTTTAACCTCCCTATCCGGTTAATACAATTGAGGTACAATTCTCATGGAGCGCCTCACTCCTTTTATGGAGTATGAGGTTTCCGTTGCCCATGAATATTGTCTTATCGCTAAAAAAAACCCTATCGATAGAACCATTTGTATGACGGGAATCCCCGAAGAACATAAAACTCCTTTCTCGCATCTTCGGTATTACGCCTGATTGAAGTACTCCAATTGAAATGCATGTAATAAAATAAGCTTCCTAATGCTATAAATGCAAGGTTCAGCAGTCGAAATTTCTTTAGTCTAAAACTGCGTTACAACGCAAGCCATTGTAGATTTCAAGCCAGAGAAAGAAGTTCCATCTCATCATGTCTGCTTTACAAAGTTCTACTTCACTGCTAAGTGTGGCACTTTTGATTACGATTCAAGTTTTATCTTTAACTCGTGCAGCCCCGACAGTGCACAAAAACAGCATCCATCAAGGAAACAGAAACGAGAGAGGTATGATTACGAATTCATATATTCTCGCAACCTTCAAATCCTAATTACATTTTTCTAGAAGAGGACCCCACTCAAAAAAAAAAAATAAAATAATGCTTCACTTAATGATTTTTGAGTCAAAAGTAGGTTTCTAAGACTCCTGGACTAAAGCGAGATTGCGAGACTGTTCCCGACGCATGTGACCTCTTTTGAAGTCATCATTTGTTTTAATTTATATTAATCAACTGGTCACAATCTGTGGTTGAAACATCTAACGTGCCTGTCATTATCAAGTCTATACCATTGATTCTCCTTTCTTAAATTTCTTTTCTTCTGCTTTCGTTTTCTTCCTTTGACACTTATAAATGCATGGGCACAGAGAATGATTTAACTCAGTATTAATTCCGTTCAAAAGACAAGAAATTCATGTTCACATTATCATATTTCTGCCAACTTTCCTCTACAGCCAAGAGCTGTGCTGAGCTTCAACAAAGAGGTCAAACAATCAGCGGTGTTTTTACGATCGACCCCGATGGCTCAGGTGCATTTGATGTGTATTGCGATCAGACAACGGCCGGTGGAGGTTGGACAGTATTCCAGAGGAGAATGAATCGATCCGTTAATTTCAACCGCACTTTGGAGGACTACAAACGTGGCTTTGGCAATTTCCTCATCGGGGAATTTTGGCTTGGACTTGAGAAGATCTACCGTCTGACACGAAATGGGACCGAAAACAACTTACGAGTGGACCTTGGAGTAAAAGATATCAAGGCTATTTTTTACGCTGAGTACGTTTCGTTTGGCATTGGGGATGAGAATAGTAGCTACACACTTAACCTGGGAAATCTTTTGAGTAAGTTTCTCTCAGTCAGTTATCTATTAATTTGTCAAAAGTCTCTATGCCTTTATTTCGTATATAGGTGTTTCCCAGACGCCTGTATTGTTTTGTTAGTTCTGTTATTACGTCAAGGTACCTTCTGCATGAATGCCGCTGTAATGAACGATACAAATGATCTGCGTCTTCGTGACTCCCCGATAGCTAAATGGCAAAGCCGGGTTCACGCTGGTCGGCTACCTCCGAGCTCTAACTTGATCGAGATCACAAAAGCTTCATTCCTGCCTGTGACTCGACAAAATATCCGTGATCACCTTGTCAGTAAAAGAAAGGAGCTCCACACCTCGAAAGTTTTAAAATGAATGAAGAGTTAATAAGGAAACGAATGTAATATTTCTTCTAGGTAAGACTGTTGATCAAGACTCTCTTACCTACTACAATGGCAAAAAGTTTGTCATCGCTGATACACTGTGTGGTCCAGAGAGTCCGAATTCAGGAGGCTGGTGGTTCGAGGAAACGGCGTGTGAACATTTGAACGTAAACCTCAATGGTGCCTATGGGAAAAATGAAAATGGCAAAATCCATTGGGCAAAACTAGATAAGTCCAGCGGTGCTAATCTTGGTAGCACTCCCTCAACATCTGAGATGAAAATTAGACCAGTCAAATGTTCTTAAAGCTATCTTATTCATTAATTCGTCCACCAATAATTTGTTTTTCCCAAAGAAAACAAAATTCGATGTCACAGGGTAAATTCCTAGCTCTTCAAGGGTAATTTTTTGAAAATAGATTGCTGAACGATCTCAAAATTGATGAATGTTCTACATAGTGACGTCTATCGTGTACACATTTATTTCTGTCGTCAAAATAAAGGGAAATATTTAAACCATGCTTCTACCACTATTTCTCCGTCTAATGGAATTGCTAGTTGTCTCTTTAAAAAGACTGTTACTAGCTCGAGTTCGCTAATAGGAACTGGAATAGGAACTTTTCGTTTCTCGTTAATACTAGCCTTGCTGGTAGAAGATTTCAATCCATCGTCTCCTCTGACCGGGTTTGTCTGATACTCAACTAATCAGCTTGAGACCCTGCAATACTTATCGTTCTTTCCGACATGAGATATATCAGCAGAAAATAAGTTATATAGTTGTCTAGAGGTTTAACATTTATTTTGCAAGCTGTCCGATTAAGCTCAAATATATACGTGTAACTCAACATATACATTTACATCATCCGTATACACACTATCGGCACACATTTGTTTGAAACTTTTCACAAAACCTTAACAATAATTAATTTTTGAGATAATTTTAAATTAGCCAACTGTCAACTCAATTTATCTATCCCCTTGAGAGCTTTTTGTAATGACGTAATCGTTTTATATGTCACGTGGCCTTGTAGAAAAGCACATGCTTTTTGCTAGCGCCGTGTGCTCGACACAGTTCTTTGATTAAAACAGCTCTTTTGATTAAATTCGATGCGAAGATGTTACACTTCTTGTGGCACATTTTTTGCCACAAGTTAACATCCCATTTGAATGACATCAGTTTCATCATGCAAAACAGGCATATTCCGAGACAGCACACCAGTTTGTGACCAGATTGTTCCAGATTAGCGAGAATTGCGACTTCGGAACATCTATGGAAGAACAAATCCGTGATCAGTTAATTAATAAATGTCGGTCACATGATCTTCGTAAGAAACTACTCGCTGTTAATGGTAATCTCACACCTCAGAAGGCTAGAGATGTTGCTAGATCTATGGGATTCGCAGAGCGGAAATGTTAATTCCTTAGAGCGGGGACATTTTGATTCGCTTAAACGTAAAGGAGGACGTTGTTATCGATGTGGACTCAAGGAACATTTTGCAAGGGATCCGGAGTGAAAGGTAAGACTGGCTACTTGTACTAAATGTAAAAAAGGGGGGCCATTTTGCCAAAGTTTGCAAGTCACCAAAGATGATGATTTCGGCCCCCACCCTATAGTGAAATGGAAGACATATTCCCACCGTAGACGTTAAGCTAGGAGGCTTTAGACTGGTAGGGGTTCTTCCCGACTCTGTTTCCTCTTGCAGTGTTATTGACAGAGCGACATGGGAGACGCTTAAGGAGAAGAAAGTGAAATGCGTTCAAGGAGATCCAACAGAAAGCTGTACTCCTATGGATCCAATAAGCCACTTACTACTGCTGGTGGGTTTGAAACTCGTCTTTATTGCAAGGATAAACGTTGCCATGTGTGTTTCATTGTTTTGAAGGAGAAAGGAAGGGCAATACTTAGCATGGAGACCTCAGAAGAGCTGAAAAGACTGAATCTTGAAATGAATGGCATGAAAGAATAATCCTGCTAGGGTATTTTCCGGAGCGTTTTTTAGGAGTAAGAAAACTTAAGGGTTTCCAAGCAAAGGTCTACTCTCCACCTCCACCCCCCGCTTTTTAGTCTATATCATCAACTACATATTTGTTTTATTAAGTTAACTTAAAATAACGTGAGTTTACAAGAAGTTTCCTAGAACGTATCGTTTAAACATGAACGAGTAGAGAATCTTTGAATAGCGCAAGTTGATCCTCTTTTGAGAACTATTTTCGCAGCCACATTTGGATTATTCTCGAGGAAACGCAGCGGTTGATGATGATGAACATCAAGGGTCCATTTAGTCGAACTTTCTGACAAAAGTAATCTATGACGAAGCCTAATAGTACATACATGTCTCTATAGTGCCTCAGTTGCAACTTTTGGCTTGATATCATTTGTTGGTAGCCATTACGTCAACAATGTACCAGATTCGATTTGCGTCGCTACCTCGTTATAAACGCGGTGAGAGCTCTTGGAAATATCGATCAAAATGATTGGTCTTTTACAGCGTGATACCTATCGACTTACATGATATGTGTTGGTGGTAAAAATATAAATTGTTGCCCGAAAAGCTGATGTAAATGAAAAGGACAATTCGCCATCTTTCTTCAGATCGCGACTGCAATTTCGTTCAGCGGTCAACTTTGACATTTAATTGGCATGTTATGTTTCTAGTCTACAAAGTTTAAAATGAAACAAAGATTTACGGCTAGCTAACTGTTTGACTTGTTATTTTCTAAGCTTGAGATAGTCGCTGGTTCACCAAAAAACAAATAAGCTGGTGATTTATTGGTCTCCTCTCAGCAAAAGGAAAAAGAAAAGGGTTAAAAATCTGACGCATGTATAGAAATCACTTACATATTTTATCCGAGGTTTTCTGTTTACATTTGGTATGTAATTACTTGCAGCTGTCTGCAGTAATATCTCGCTTTTTGTCGAGATGTACTTTAGAAATTGCTTCATTGCAAAAGTGCGGATTACTAATGAAAGGTGAGGCGAGGAAGGGGAGGGGTTAATAATCAATGTGCCTTGGTATTAAGTATCAGACAGAAGTGTAGCAGCGGCTCGTAAAGGTTACAAATAATAACCAACAATCTGCTAATGTTAACATCAAAACCTGAAAGAAAACCTCCTTCGAGCGTAGACGCTTCTACTTTTCGTAGCGATTCAAGTAGGGCGGAGAGACTATGCTTCCCTGGAATCTTTTAAGCCCGAATAGGGTAAAATGCACAGTTGGGAAAGCAATTGATGAGATAAACTGTAAACCAAGGCATCAGCATGCATTTCAAGATCGTAGGAGTGTCAGACTCAGCGACATTGTTAGAAGATAATGAGTGCATGAGAGCAGGATTTTGCGACACCTACTCTCGCTTATTTACAAACATCCCAGGAGTAAAGTGATATGGAAGGCAACTAAGATCCTCTCTTTCGCATTTCGTGGTTCCTCGTGTTTTTTCAAACGTCTCCAAGGTCGCCAGAGGGCAAATGTTGCAGGTTACTACGAGAAAAATTATGGCGAAAGGTTATTTCAACGTCCAAGAAAACGATTTTAAAGAGGCATGCTCGCTTTTTTGCCTCCGTTTTTTCAGGAATGGATTTAGCCAATGAGGGGGAAATGTAAGTCTTTGTTTGCATCCATTTACGCAACACGCCTCGCATACTTTTTACCAAACCAACTTTAGGTGTTAATATCTAGACAACCAATGAGAATATTGAAAAAGCCTGACATACTCTTATTGATCGATGCCTTGTGAATAAGACTGTGTAGACATTTTGCTTGTGCTGTGGTATCCGATACCCGAAAAAAATAAATAAAAGTATCTTCCATTGTTTCACGCCCTACCGACGCGGACACTTCCTTAAAGGAAACTCACGTAAATCATATTTTCATTGCACTTCGCATCTCTTAAGCTTTCTTCTGATGTATATTTTGCTAGGATTTCATGAAAGTAGCGCACGTACTATTTTTTTCCTATGACACCCACAAGAGTGGGAAGAAACCTTAAAGTCTTGGATAGGATATTTGACCACAGAAAGTCGGTGGTAGTGTGACTAGCATTGTGGCATTAAAGTCTGATGGATGTCTTTTTTCAAACTGCTCTCATAATCATTTTTAACTGAATTGGATAACTTTGACATTGATGCATCCTTGTACTTTACTAAAATAAATATTGCTGATTTCCAAACACATATAATGATGGAAGGTTACTAAAAGATCACTGGATCTCGTGGTAAACGAGTTCTCCTAGTTTTTCCGTCTACGCGATTAACGCGGCAACATCCATTACATTGTGTTAGAAGATAAACTTCCCTTTAAATGAACAGACTGGAAATGCATGATAGACTGAGGCACCGAATATTAGGAGCTAGAGCGAATAGAGCACTTAACTGTACACTTAGCTTATGATACGCTTCAGGCATATACTTTATTATTTTTCGCTGTTTCATTGCTAAATCAAGTTAAAGAGCACAAAGCTTTCTCCGTTGATTGCCCTACTTTGGTCAAAATATAATTCTCAACCATATTAAAAACGTAAGCATTTCTTCTTAAAATTTATTGGAAATATGGTCAATTTAAAACGCTAAATATTCCGAAATATGAAAATTTTACATGACTTCGTCCCATAACAGAAAAAACCAGTGATGGCAAAGCAAGCCCAAAACAGCAGTGAAGTGTATGCCGAAAAATGTGAAGACAATTGTGGGATAACAATAGAGGAAAGCACGGAGTCCAGGAGTTTAGGATCGCGATGCTTAGTTCGATTGAAATAATCCGATTCAATCCGTGGTTTGATTACGTATACTTAGACTCTACAATTGGCGACGAGGATAAACAAGGAAATTTTCCGATATATGAAGAGAAAATATGGCCGTGAAAATCGAATTGGAAAACATACACCCCTTCGATTGCACAGCAATAATCCGACTAGCGTGGGACCTCGTTGGAGACGATAGAAACGTTCTTTTGAGTTTTTTCTCGAAGCCAAGGGGAATATGTACTGGTCGTGGTTGATTATAACAGCCGATGTTTGGACGTCCGTTACATCCACTAAAGTAATTTAAAATTTGGAGAAGATTTTCCGTCCCCATGGGTACCGCAGTTATTGAAAACTGACAACGGTAAACAGTTTGTGTTCGATGGATTTGATCGTTTCTTAAAATCGCATAATCTAGAGCCTAGCACTTCGACTCTGCTCTGGCCTCAGGCAAATGGGAAGTTTAAAATATAGAACAGAGGCTTGCTTAAAGCTCTTAGGATTACAAGAGCCGAGAAGAAGAATATCTGGAGCGAGATGCGAAAGTTCTTTACAGCCTATAGAGTGACATCTCGCAGCAGTAGAGGAGTCACGCCGGCAAAACTCCTGTCCAACAGGGAAATCAGATCAGTGATTCCGGAACTGGGAAACTCGAAGTACTCCGACAGTGAGGCGAGAGATAAGGATGCAGAGATGAAG